CGTGGGGTGGAGAGGCTTTGACCAAGGGCAGCCAGAGGTGTCTGGAGGAAGGAACTATGGAAGCACAGACTCCCAGGAACCTGGCTGATGAGGAGAACAGCATCTAGTGGGGAGCCTGACAGGAGGGCGTGAGAAATAGTCCAGCCTGAGGCCAGGCTGGTGAGCAGGGGTGAGCCGGTGGGGCGGGGGTGCCCGAAGTTGACGTGTCACAGCCAGGAGTTGGGTGCTGGGTCCCTCGGTTGACCGAGGAAAGCCTGAGGACAGGAGTGGGCTTGCCCAGGCCCCTCCCTGGGGTGGGGGTGGGGGTGGGGAAGGCGCAGGGAAAATCAGGCATCACATTCCATTTAATCACATCCAGCTTGTTCTTTGGTGGCCCCTGCCTGCCTGGGAGAGGCTATGGCCCCTGCAGCAACTTCACCCAAACACTCAGGGGACCCAGGCTGCTGGTTTCCCCTCCCACCCTGGCCAGGCCCGGCCCTCTCTGCTCTGCGCCCTCCCTCCTGTGCCTTGCTCTCATGCTCCCATCAGCTCTCCCTTTCCAGGATGGTGGGAAGTAGCCTGCGGCAAGGGGTGAACACAGGCTTTGAGGTGCAGACCTGGGGCTTGTATGGAGCTAGCCAACCACCCCGGAAACTCAAGTTTCCCCGTTTGTCAAAAGGGGTTCAGAGTGCCCCTTCTGCCGCCGCTGCTGCCACTGCTGTAGCTATTTTTGTTATCTGCTGATAGTCCCCCCAGACAGGCTATGGGGTGTGTAATGTGCCATCCCTGCCACACCCCCTCTAAGTGCCCAGTAAATGGCACTTCCCTGCTTTTCTTGTTTGCTTTCAGCCCCCTTCCTTCATCTGCTTAGGGTTCTATTTTTGGACCGAGTGAGCCTGGAATAACTTGCTCTGGGTCCTGGGGCTGAGGACATCCCAGCCCCCAGGGCCCTACCCACCAGCTCCCTTCCCTTCCTGATAGGCCGCGCTGCCCGTGACCTCATAGTTCGTCGCCATGGCAGTAGATGTGATGTCACGGGGTCTTTTGGCCTGAAACAACTGCCTGGATTCCAGGCTTCCCAGGGGGCAAGAGTGGGGAATGCTGGAGGGGTGGAAGGGGGGAGGGCGTGAGGAATTTCTGGACGGAATGTTCCTCTGGAGGCTGAGTCTACATTCTGCGCCAGCCCCCCTCCCCCCAGCCCCGGGCTTGGGCACCTCCCCCACCCTCTGTGGCCCTCTGCCTTTTCCTCCCTCCAAAACAGCTGCCCACAGATACATTGTTTCCCATGCAGGCCACCAACATGTCCTACAGTGTGGAGCTCCAGGCAGTCGTCCCAGCCACCCCAGCCTCTGCAGAACAGCCCCTCCTGGGGCCCACGCAGTTGGCTGTGGGTAAATGCAGGCACGGAGAGGGGTTGCATGTCTTTTTTTGGAAAAAGAAATTGAGGAAAGGATGTGCGGCTTCCCTTATCCACCCTGTGGCTTGCAACCCCTCACATTCAGGAAGTTCTCTCTAATGTCTGATCTCTGGTCTCTCATACTGCAGCCCATTTCTTCCTCTTCCTACGGCAGTGTATTGAAGACAGCTCTTCCTCCTGAGGGCCTGAGACCATTAGTCTTTAAGTCACAGAAAGCTTGTTCCCGGTAGGAGGGCAGTTGATTTAAGTTGAATGAAGATCTTCCCCAGGGAGTGGAGACAGAACAGGAGGGGATGCAAGGAGCAGGGTTCCAATACCAGCTCTACTGCCTGCCGACTAGCTGCATAACCCTGAGCAAGTTATTTAATCTCGCGGACCCTCAGTCTCCTCAACTGTAAAATGGGGTGACGCTTACCTTGAGCACATTGGTTATGAGGGTGGTTGTGAGGAGCGATCATCATGGAAGCCAAGAGCCGAATGCTGTGCCCAGGGCTGCATCCTCACTTAATGAACAGTTATTGTTAATGCATTAACATTACGGCCAGGAAGAGGCAGGCCAGTGAGGCAGCCAGGGTGTAAGATTGGAGGAGGCATTGCTCTCAGAACTGTGTGGGCGCACTTTTAGCAAACAGAGAATGAATGCTTCCTTCAGTTTTCTGCCCTTAGCACCTCATCCCTGTCTTGCTGCAGACTCTGGGGTTTGAGATCCGAGAGCAGAGTGATCCATGAAGAGCAAGGCTGGGTTGTCTGGTGCTGCCAGGTCCAAACCGCCACCTGTGCCTAAGCTGCATTCAAGTTGTCCTGTTTGGGGGCAAGGGGCATTCTGGAAGACCCCTGCTGAAGCTGTGGTCGGCCACCCTCAGCTTTGGAAAGCCTGGGTCCTTAAGATCCAGGTTTTGTCCTGGAACAGGACCGTGGGTGGGGAGGGGTGCCACTGCTGTCTGGGCTCCATTTGCTCTGTGCCTATGCAGCTGAGCCTCAGGGGGAAGGAAGAGAAGAACCCCCCCCCCCCCCCCCCAGGGATCCTGAAATGCCCAGCTGACCCTGCCGACAGGCTGGCTGGGTACTGGGCTGAGGTGAGCTTAGCAGTGGACTTTACAAGACCTGGTGCCAACCTCCTGCCATGAACCTCACCCTGAGAGGCTGGGCGAGTCATACCTCTCTGTGCCTCAGTTTCCCCATCTGTGAAATGAGGAGGGAGGAGATGGTGTCTGAAGTCCCTCTCAGAGCTGATGATCTGAGGAGTGGTGTGCAACGATGGGTGGTGTGTGTGTGTCTGCATGCTGAAAGTAGGGTGACATCTGAGGTCTAGTGGGGCTCTGCTGGCCATTAGAGCTCTGGGGCTGCCACCTCTGGGGGGGCCACAGCTCTGGTGGCCTGGTAGCTTTCCTGAGGCATACCCAAGCCTCCCTGCAGGGCCTGGGGCAGGGTGGCCTCAGGAGAGATCCACCCTCATGTTACAAGTCTCTTCCTTGCCTTTTTCATTCCCATTTTTCCCAGAGCTGGCAGGGCCTAGGAAAACAGAGAAGCAGGACTTCGGTCCCTGAGGACTAGGGTGGAGGAGAGGGGTGGGGAGCACAGCATGCATGCTGGGCCGTGTTTGCAAACACTGCAGGAAAACGCTGGGTGTTTAGGTCAGGAGGGGTTTTTGGAAATTTTTAGCTCCGCAGAAAGCATCTCGACCAGTACGTTTAAGGCATCTGATGGCTGGCAAGCGTCTTCCTGTGGCCGGCCTCCAGCTGGCACTGGGGAAGGGGTGGGGGCCACGGGGACGGTGCTCAGATGATTGCTGGCAGGGAGAGGAGTTTCTCTTGCACTGCTGAGGCCTGTGGTTTCTAATATTGACTCCGGCTCCCTGGTCAGCTTCGTGCCAGACCTGGGAGGGCTGGGGCAGGAGGATCAAGGTGGGGCAGGGTGGGCCAGGGGAAGGCCTGAGCCTGGGGAGTGTGTGGAGTGCAGAGGATACATAACTGCTAGCATTTACTGAGAGCCTCCTAAGTGCCAGGCCCTGTTCTAAGTGCTTTATGTGCTTCCATTCGTTTGAGTCTCATGACATAGTGCCATGCTGTCCTGTTGAGGAGCAGTAAGGGCGAAGTGACCTTGGGGTCACACAGGTAACAATAGAGAGAGTCAGGATGTGACCCTGGCGATGTGCTGCCGCTGCTGTTGGCTTCGGCCAGTGCTTCTCAAAGTGTCATCCCCGGACCTGGAAACCTGTTAGAAGTGCACGTTCTCGGGTCCCGCCCGAGGTCTACTAGATCAACCCTCTGGGGAGGGCCCAGCACCTGTGTGTCAACACAGGAGATTCTGAGGCACACACAAGTTCAAGGCCCCCGGCTCACACTCTGCTCTGTGGAGGGTCAGAGAGTCGGGATCTCCTAAAAGGCTTTACCCAGAGCCGGACGAGGGCTCTTCAGGGCCTGGCAATGGCCTGGGGCAGGCGCTTCCTCTCCAACGTCTCCATTTCACCCCAGTTCTGGCCTTTCTGAGCCACCCTGTCTAGGGAGGCTGGTTCAGCAGACTCTGAAGAGTGAGGGCTTTGAAGTGGGGGGGGTGCGGGGTTCCGACCTCAGTTCTGCTTGTAGACTCTGTATATGGAAGGTCCCTGTGATCTGCCCTCCAGGAGTGCTCCCCCCCGCCACAGGGGGCCAGAGAAGAGGCAGTTCCCCAGCCCACGGTCTCCACAGGAGTGTTTATAGAGCCCCAGATCAGAAGAGGCAGGCGGGGGTCAGAGGGCCAGCATTTCCTGGTAGGCTTATTTGCCCCCTGCCCAGTGTCATGTAGCTCAGGTGTTGGGGCTCTTGGGAGGTGGATGGGTGAGGATTCGGGCTGGGCTTGGAGGAGGCAGAATGTGGCATCTTTGCTCCTCCAGAGCCACCCTCAGACTCCAGGTGAGCTGACTTGGGGGCTGGAGGGGCTGGCTGATGCGCCCCGCCCCCCCACACCCTGTTCTTGGATGCTGTCCTTCCTCATCCATTCCAAACTGAGTCGGCCCTGAACTACTCGGGAGGTTTCATCCCCTGGAAGGCAGTTTTGGCCTCAGCCTCCCGTCTTTTAGGCAGTAGGGGTAAAGGCTGGGCCATTTCCAGAAACAGCACTATTGCCTTCAGCTTAGCCGGCTTTCTTCCTCCATGCCCGACTTGGCCCAGTTCTCCTCCCTGGGGCCAGAACCTTTCAGAGGTTCATTTTGTCCATTCCCCTGTCTTCAGACACAAACAGTTCACGCCTCAGGTCCTGGGGATGGGGTTGGGGCAGGCGTTTCCTATTTCGTGACACTGTATCCTAACCTGGTCCACGTTCATCTGGGCAAAGGCTTGTTTCATGACCTTGACAGTCGTGCTCATGGCCTTCTGTGTGGCTCAAGGGCCCCTTCAACCACTTTGCTGAGTTGGAAATGGAGCCCTAGAGACTGTGGTCAGGAGGTAGCCTAGAATGGGAAGTTTCCTGTTTTGGGGGGATTCTAGGATCCCACTTTTCAGGACACCTTAGCAGGAATCACTTCTGTTGGCCTGGGATGGGGAAGGGTGGCACCAGGGTGAGGGAAAGGATCAGCCCACAGGTGTTTATTGATGGCCCGCTATCCATAAATCACAGGCCCTGGCAGGAGGAATATGGCAGCTGAGCTGGGAAAAGGCTGCTTCGAATCCGGTTTGGAGGCAGGTAGGATAAGAATCACAAATAAAACAATAGTTGGGGAATAAGGCACATTCCCACGATGAGATTATTCATACGCTAAGGACCAGGTAAGAGGCCTAGACAGCAAGGCTTATTGGAGTGCAGGCGGAGGAGAGCCCTCCTTGCTGTGGTGTTCAGGGAGGGCTTCACGGAGGAGGAGAGCTTGTAGGAAAAGAAAGGAAGCTGTTTTACAAGCAGAGGCTTGGATGTGGGAAGAAGCCAGGGGGCCTAGGGTGGACTGCATGGAGCAGAGCTTTGGGGCATGAAAACTGAGGTCTGTGAAGGGGCAGGGCCGATGGTGGGGGTCCTTGAAAGCCCACAGAGGAGTTTGGAGTTTGGTAGGCCTCTCATCCTGGCTGCTGCAAGTTTACACAGAGTAAGAAGCGCAGAGCCCAAGGTGAGGTTCAAATCCTGTTGTCTCCATTAGTAGTCCATGACTTTGGGCCACTTATTTAACTTCTGCTTATCTGTAAAGTGGGGCTCAAAGGTAATAATGGTACCTGTTTCATTGGGTTCTTGTGAATAAATGAGACGGTGTCGGTGAAAATGCCTGTCATGTAGGAACAAGAGTGACTGTTCCTTTCTCCTTGTTCCTTTCTGAGGGGTCGGTGACTGAGTCAGAGGCCTGGGTGAGGTGTGTCAAGCTGGATGTTTCTAGTAACCAATAAGATGTTTATCATTTTAAATGGTGCCTCCCAAGTTTGGGGACAGCCAGGTTACATCTGAGCCTTGGGTTGACATCATGTCCCGCCTCAGGAGGCATTCTACCCCTCAGGGCCACCAGCTCTGCAGAGAGAGCCGGTGCGGGGATGTTTGTCCTGAGGCCTCACACTGTTTTCTCCCCTTGTCCACAGCCCATCAACACTGAGAGTGCACCGAAGAATGTAGTGGACACGGTGAGTGACAGTAGGCGGAGAGGGGCGCCGGGGAGGGGAGGGGGAACAGCCTGGGGAGGCTGGAAAGAGGAAGATGCATTTGGGGAAAGTGCACAGTTGTGTTTGGGGACATCCTTCTGAAGTAGATTGGGGAAGTGGTGGGGACATGGGTGACGCTGGGATCCGGGCAGCTGACCATTCTTTGTGTGTTCAGAAATGGATTGCTGAGGAACTGGGCATGCAGAACTGGAGAGGGAGAGAGGTCAGTGGTTAAATGTGGGCCTCTTTATTAAATATGTAGAAAGTGAGAAAGCCAGGCAGATCTTTCCAAACATCTTCCTGACTTAGCAGAGAGAGAGAGACAAGACACTTTCCTCAAGGCTACGTGGAGGAGGAAGGGAAGAAAGTGGGTGGGTCCTGACATGGGAAAACGGAGGTTTACCGTTGAGAGGTGTCTCCTGGCGATGGCCCATACCGAGTAATGGGCGTGGGTATGGAGGACTCGGGTTGAAATCCTAACTCCTCCGAACTTCTGGTTGGGTGGCTGTAGGCAAGTGTGGAGTCTCTCTGTGCCTCAGTTTTCTTACTGCGAGGTGGGGGAATAATAGCTCCCACAGGAGTGGTTATGAGGCACAAAGAAGAGGGTTTGGTTAGCGCTGAGACACCCTTAGTGGAAAAAAAATGTTAAACAACCCAGTCCCCCCGGGCCCTTCTGCCAACGCCCTCACCTCCACCCCTGCTAAACCCAGCAGGTGGAAGACCTGGTGCCTACTGAGTACTTTCCTCGGCGCCCCTCTCTGACTTGCCTTGCTTCTGTCTCCAGGGAGAAGGAGCCTTCCGGGGTGGAAACACACGGAAAAGCCTCGAGGAAGACGTAAGTATGGGGAGGGGGCAGAGAAGGATGTGGCTGGGACCCTGGTGCCCAGAGGGAATGGTGGGGGGTGGGTGATGTCTCACACCTGACTTATTTGGTGGGGTGTCCCTTCCTCCTCTCCGGAAGGGCAGGCAGGGGTTTCCCAGCTCTGTTGCTAAGAGAAGGAGGGAATGAGATGGTGAGCAGGCCCCATGTACTTACACACTGAGCCTCAGTCTTGGCCTTGACCTCCAGCTCAGCTGGACCCAGAGCACATTTGCCCATCGCTTTGCCAGGGTGGAAGGGGGCGGGGGGCTGTGCTCTGTGAGGCCTGGCTTGGTGGTGAGCTGTCGCCAGGGTAGAGGCAAGGGGGACTGGCAGCGCTGTAGCAAGAGGGACTAAGGACAGAGATGAAGAGGGACTCCTGAGCCCTTAGAGGGTCATCAGGGGAATTGCAGGCTCTGCTCCTTTGGGGAGAGAAGTCTTTGAAAATGGCAGAAATCCTCTGTGTGGCTTAAGTGCCATTGATTTAAGAGGAAGCTGGGAGGTGGACAGCTTGTCCCAACCATGCGCCTTCTCACTCCAATTTTTGGTGGAAGTCAGTGAGCAAATTCCTTAACTGGAAGGACCCAGAGGAGGGCAGAGGGGGCTCTCCCAGGACCCTGCTTTGAGCAATGCTTGTGTCTGGGCTTGTCCTCACTCCCCAGGGGCAGACACCTGTCAGAGTTGGGCCTTTCTCTCTCTTCCCCAGTCGTCTCTGACAATTTGCCCCTCGCCTGGCCTCTCCATCCTTGCCCGCCCTGATCTGCGGAGGAACAGGGAGTGGTTTTGGCGGTTGGCACAGGGGGAGCTGTTGATGGCATGAGGCCCTATCATCTGACAGCTGCCTGACCCATGGTGGGGAGGGCCCCAGAGGGAGGTGCTGGGGCATCAGGAGGCAGCTCCTGCAGGCGGCCGGCCTCACTTCTGTGGTGAGCCCACTGCCACTGCCACATTGCCCTGGGGCAGCCTGCACGGTGGTGGCGTCCTCCAGGAGGGGCAGGAACATGCCTCTTAAACTAGTGGGGAAGGCTCTGTTCAAGGTATGAGTGGGTCCTGTGGGCACGGCATCCACATACTGGGGAGAGGCCCTTGTCTGAGTTTGTGATATTTCTGGGGCTGGGGTGCAGGGGAGAAATCAATTTTTTTGGGTACCTACTACTGAGGATTAACTAGCTCAATGCACACAAAGCATATGTTATGTGCTCAGTAAATGTTAGCTATTCTTATTACTGTTATTTTGACTGAGGGCCAGGATCTGCACTGGGTATTTTTTGATTCCCATGACATCCCCTATGGCAGATGCCATGGCCCCATTTTGTAGATGAGCAAACAGAGGCTTGGCGGAGCTCAATGACTCAGTGAACATTTCCCATCTCTTCCTGGGATCGCTGCTTGGATCTGTGTTACCCAGGACTCCTAACCCTTGGTTGGGGGACAGGGCGATGGTGTGTGAACCAAGCCTTTTAGCCAACTGTTTGGAAACTCTTATTAGTCAAGTCCTGGAGCTGCTGCTCCCATAACCCCAGCCTGGGCCAGACAGATCCTATAAAGTAAAGCTACAGTAAGAGAGAGTGAAGTTAGACACCATGAAGAACTTTTTGACGGGAGGGTGTGTATGACTTTGGTCCTAGGGAAGAAAAAAGTGGCCATTTAGTTGGGACTGGAGGTTTATTTTTAGGAGAATGTTTTGTTGATATGGGATGAATGTGTGCATGTCAGGGAGGGGTGGGTAAGCGCTAAGCAGAACCAGAATGGCCTGTGTACTGCAAAGTAGAGGAAACCTAATTTTTAAGGTTCCCGGACACCTGTCCCAGCTTGGATGCTCCTGGGGTCATTGAGTCAGCCCTCTGCTCAGCCAGTAGGCTTTCCTGCAGTGTGCCCCAGGTGAGGGGACCCATTTTCGAGGCGGCGTGATTGAAGTCCTGGGCCCGCTGCTGTGATAATGTGCCTGTTTGTTGAGCTGTTTTCCTGTATCTGGCCTGTGGCCCAGGACTCACAGGGCAGGAATAGCTGTTTTCCTCTGATGGGTTGGTGTGTAGTGGAGTTTGTGGATGGTGTGCTGTGTCGCACTTTGTTTTGGAAAAATCCAAGCTGGTGGGCAGGAAGGAGAGGGGAAGGGGTGTGGCTGGAGGGGCTGGTGTGGGGGTGGAGGGGGTGGCCATAGCCCCCAGAGGAGGCGTAGGAATGGGGATGGGCCCCTGACGTAGGTTGGTCACCAGTCTCTGGCTGCCTGACATGACCCCCCCCTGGTGTTGCTTACAGACCCACCTCTCAACTGTGTCCCCTGGGGACTGGGGCTCAGGAAACAGCTTTTCTTTTGGTTCAGTCGTTGTGTTTGGTCTGTGGACCTCAAAGAAAGGCAGGACTCTTCCCACACAGTCATTGCTCTAAACCAACCCCGCCCGAGTCCTGCCGTTCCCGCTCTTTGCTGTATGGTGGGGAAGAAGGTGGATAACAGAGCCTAGGGTCATAGCCCTTGAGCGCTCAGGAATGCCTGAGTGGTCATCAGCAGTGAGGACCAAGGCAAAACGAGTTTGCTGAATCTACAGCAGGAAGGGCGAGGGTTAGATACAAGGAGGAACTTCCTGATACTCAGAGAAGTAAGACCCTGTTTGGGGGAGGTTGTGGAATTTCCTTTTGTGGTGTCCTTTCAGCAAAGGAGAGACTATTTTGGTGACATGATAGGGGAGAGTTCTTGGTGCCCAGGGAATTGGATCAAAAGTCCTATTATTGATCTATGTCTTGGGAGGGGCTGGAAGGAAGTTCAAAACCATGTGGGTAAAGGGCTTTGAGAGCCTCAGAGAAAGAATGAGATTACAGGCAGACAGAGAGCTTATTTTTCTTTTTAAAATAAAATCTTTGTAGTACTCTTTGCCTAGCCCTCTGGTAGTTTTCCCTAAGGGTTCTAAGTGGAATAGGTAAATCATATGAAATCACATGGGACTGTGCTGGACCCGTTTTACAGATTGGCCAGTGAGACCAAGGGGCTTCTTCTCACAGGGCTTCGGTGATGAGTACCTTTCTTCACAGAATATAAGCTCCCTGAGGTCAGGGGTTTCTCCTCCTTTGGTCCCTGGTGCCTAGAACATTGCCAGGCACGCAGCCGGTGGCACTCAGCGAAGGTTGACTGCCTGAGGGAGTGCACACGATGCTGGGTGGCAGAGATGACCACATCTCTCCACTGCCTCCCAGCCCTCTTGAAAGAGGCGTGCGTGATGAGGCACGCTGGACGGCGCCGTCTCTAGCCCAGCCTTGTGTGTGAGGTCACCTGTGTTTTCTGGAGCATTCGGTTGTGTTTGCTCACCTCCACCCCACCCCCAGCCCACTTGTGGTTTTCTGGTTCTCCCTACGACTCTGTGTCCACCGACACTCAGACGTGTCACCCGTGCATGTCTGCTTTCGGCCAGCGAGTGTCACATGCCCCCAAACTTTGCGGAAAACAGGAAGCCCCGTCAGTGAGAGGGCAGCCCAGTGATTCATCAGGGGATGACCATTCAGCTGTTCGTCCCCATCCTTTGCGGTGGGGTCACTGTCCAGGGCAGCTTCCGCCTCTGCCTCCCCTTCCCTGGCCTGCCTGGTGGGGCAGAGCGGGCTTGGACTTTGTCTTATCACCTCTGGAGGCTGCATGGCCAGACTCGATTGGGGCCAAGTTTTTATTTATCTTCCCTGGCTTTTTTGGGGTGGGGAGGCTGAGGAATGTGGAGTGTTGTAACGCTGGGAGGGGGGGTTGGGGAAACAGGAGCCCGCTCTCCGGCCATGCTCATCCTCCTCACCCCTGCACTCTGAGGACTTAGGGTCCCCTCTGTTCCCCTCAGCTCCCCAGTCCCCTTGCCAAGCCCATCTCAATATCCCATTGTCTCTCCGTGGCTCCCTGGGCCTGGACCTGTGGTCCTGGCCACACCTCAAGCCTTGGCTACAGTTGTGGCTTCCAGTTGTTTGAAGCAGCTGTGGTGGCCTCCTCCAAAAGTGGCTGTGGATCAGCAACAGATGAAAACCAAAGGGCTATTTATAGCAGGGTGGCCCTGGGGCCTGGAGCAGGGCCTACGGCCTGGGGAGGCTCAGTGACTCCTCGTCAGGGACCAGCGGCGTGGAGATGGATGAAGTGTTGGATTTCTGCGTTCCTTTGGGTGGGTAGTTTTGGAACAGCCTGGTTTGGGGCTTGAAAACCAAACACAACCCCTCCTTACCGTCCCCCCCACCCTATGCCTGACTCATGCAAACCCAAGTCCTCAGGGCCAGGAGAGCTGTGGAGACAGAGAAACTTTTCCGCCCCGACAGCCCGCTTCGCTGTTTCCTCCTGCTGCTGCCTGCCGAGGCTGAGCTGTTCAGAGCTGGGTGGGAGCCCAGGCAGAGGGGACTCTGGGCACAGCCTGCTCATGGGCGGCTGGATGGAAAGTCCTCTTCACGGGGCTGCCCAGGCTTTGGGCTCAGCCGGGAGCCAGGCCTCCCAGCCCACCCACTCTCACCTTGTTGGCACTGCAGGGCCTGGAGAGGGCTGAAGAAGGTTCCTCCTCTTGGGGCCCCAGTGGTCAAGCCCGAAGTCTGAGGTTGAATCCTGCTGGTCATCAGGACGTGGGGGTGAGTCACTATTGCCTCAGTTTCTCTTTTCCTTGGCCGATTGCAGTCCTGCGTGCTCTAAGAGGTGGTTGCAACTTGGTGGTTGGGAAAGGCTGGTTTCTGGGAGGCCCAGGGAGGTGTGAAAGGTGCCAGTGGGCTCAGGAGGCTCCTGTTGGGCCCGGGATTCTGGAAGTTGGGTGCCCAATTCTGCATCGTGTGAGGTGGCTGAAAGGATGGGTGACAGCTGGTGTAGAGGTGATACAGGGTTTTGATTTTCTATAGACTAGGAGGTTTGGTTATATCTCTTAACTGCCCTTTTAATTAATTGTAAGTGCCTTATATGCATAATTCCTTTTAATCTTCCAACAACCCCATATGGATTGCTCCATTTTTCATCTGACATTACAGAGGCTCAGGCTCATTAAGTAATGCCAGGCTGCCCAGCAGGGGCCTGGCCCTACACTTTGATCACTGCGCCATTGAGTGCCTTGGGATATTTTGGACAACAACGTGGGTCCATTTGCCTAGTTTTGTGCAAGTCGACAACCCTGGAAATGGGAGTGGGGGAGGGGTAACAGACCATGGTGGGTGGGGTCCTTAGGAGCACAGTTTACTGCCTAACGCTGCTCTCGGTTGGTACATGCCTTGCCTGGGTGCCCTTGTGTCTAAATTTTTCATTGAATGGCTCGGTGTTGCTGCTTTAAAGGAGAGGAGAAGAAAGGCCTAGAGTTGGACAGAGGGGTACCATCACTCACCTTTCCTTCTTCCATGCTTGCAGGGTATGTTTTCCATGCAGGGTTACTATTACGATGACCAGTGAATCAAGATGAAATGGGCTTCCATCAGTTTAGTAACTGTTTTATTGAGGGTATATTCAGTGCAGATGGCACCAGCCCAGGCGTGGTGCAATTCTCAGCATTTGGGCTTTCTTCCTTACAGGGGGAAGGAAAGCTTGTCTCTTTGGGGGGCTTGCATGCACACTGGCACTCTCATGTGGAATTGGCACCGATTGCTTTTGGCTTTGCTGGGGTGTTAAGGTGCCTGGGATGGAATGCTGGCAGAGAAGGGGAAGAGGATCTGTGTTTGCCCACGGGCCTGACTGTGCCCGTGGACAGCTCTCTGCTTGCCTCCTCCATAATGCTGCTTGTCTTCTCTCTTTCCCAGGGCTCCACCAGAGTCACCTCGAGTGTCCAGCCCTATCCCAAGCCCATCAGGTATGCTGGCCTCTGCGGGGCAGGGGGCAGGGGCACTGGCAGTGAAGTCACTGTGGGTGTTCCTAGTAAGTCATGCCTTTGGGTGTCTGAGACCCAAGTCATAAAGCCAGTGGTGGGGAGCGTGGGCAGATGTGAAAGCTACAGTGAGAGGGTGCAGGTAGATGCCACTTCGAAAGGGTCATGTTTTGAGTCCTAGCTTGAAGCCAGCCTTCAGCTGTATTCTTATCTACCTGCATGATCTCATCTACTTTTTGCAAAAACCCTTCAAGGCAAGTATTTGATTCCCAGTTGGCAGATGAATAAACTGAGGCTACGAGAGATGAGGTGACTTGTTAAAGGTCTCACACAGGAGACCCAGTGCCTTGTTGATGCAGAACCTCTTTTCCCTGCATCCAGGCTCCCTGGTTCTCTGGCTTGGGCCCTTCCCTCTCTGCCTCACCTTTACCCCTCAGATTCCCGAGACGAATGAGAATCTGGCTCCAGGAAGATGGGGCCCCAGCCAGAGAAGGCCTGGTGTGTGGATGAAGCCCCTGGCAGATAGTGGCTTAGCTGCCAGCTGATCACAGATCTGAGTGGCCCTTTAGAAGATTCCCTACTCGCCCTACAGCCAAGAACCACCTTGGGGTGGGTGGGTACAGAGTGCAGTGCTGAGGTTGTCCTGTGGTGGCACTGGTCTGTGTGGGGTAGGCAGTGGCCTGAGGTAGGAACCCCACCTCCAAAGGCTGCGGCGAGAAGCTTATCTTAGGCATGAGGAATGGCTGGCACTCAGAGGTCAAATTTGCGTTGTGTTCCTTACTGCAGCTCATGGATGGCCCTTCTGCCATTTGGTCCCTGTTATTGCCACCATGGAGAAGCCTCATGTCACCCCTGGCACCTCCATCTCCAAACACATTTGGGCTCAGAGTTAACTCTGGTGGGAATGTGGATTCTGCCCCACTTTTTGCTGTCCTGGGCTGCCCTCCCCAGTGCCGCCCCATCACTTTGAAATACCCCAACGCTATTCCTCCCTCTGCGCCTCCAGTCTCACCTTTACCCTGCTGTAGTGAAAGGTTATCAAAATGAAATATGAGTGTTGCCCACCTCGGATAGAGAGGGTAAGTAAGCTGGTGATAGGGTTAGGAGGTGTGGGGGTGGGGAGCTTGTGAGGTCCCCTAGACGCTCCAGGTGGGCTTCAGAATGGAATTTCATTGTCTCAAGATCCATTTCCCCTTCCCATTGGCACCCCAGTGGGCACCTGGACCCTCCCCCGGAAGAGAAGCTGGGTGAGGTGTCAGTATGTGAGCCTCTACCTCCTCTCACCCAGTGTCCAGTCCTGGGGGCTCTCCCTCTCTCTGAGGAGCTCAGATGGCGCTGGGTTGTCTGGGGGCCACCTGCCACTGCAGCAGCATCAAAAGCTCTGCACCCTCTGCTTCCTGGGCCCTTACAAATTGGGGAGGCCACTGCCACAAAGCCGTTCTGGCAGCGGAGGGAGCTGTGAGATGGGGAGAGAGCCAGGGAACAAAGGGCAGGAGTCGGCCTGCCTCCGGCTTGCCTCCGGGGAGGGCTGGAATGCGTGCTGTGGTCTGGCTTACCTGGAGCCCAGGTGAGCGTGTCACCTGAGCTGCCCCTTCGCCCTAGCGGCCTCCCGGCCCACTCCACAGCTCAGGAGCAAGGGGAGGGCAGCAGAAGGCTCAGCTCCGGGATGCTGGAGAGCACCCAGCTCAGGCTCTCCTTCCTCTTCCGGAGCCGCCCCGGGATCCTTTGAGAGACTTCTGCCAGACCAGGTGGCCACAGTGTGTCGGGAGGCAGAGCTAGATTCCTAGATGCCTGGCCAGCTCTGGCCCTGGCTCTGACTTCTGGGATCGATGGTGAAGGCAGTGCCAACAGGATTGATGGGAACCTAGGGTTGGTGTCATCACTGTTTGGTTCTGATGCGGCCTGAGATCCTTGCCAACCTCTGCCCAGCTCTACTCAGGTTGGCCTCAATGGCTGCACTGGCTTTGCCATGGGAAGCGTTTGGTCTTGGCTCTGGGTCAGGGAGCAGCCAAGCCCCCTGGGTTGGATATGAGGACAGTGCAGGGGGTGCAAATATCTGGCCCTTGCCCTGCAGGGGCCGGGATCTGATCTAGATCTCCTTCTCTGCCTGTCTCCCCAGAAACATGAGTGTGAGCCGGACCATGGAGGACAGCTGTGAGCTGGACCTGGTGTATGTCACGGAGAGGATCATCGCCGTCTCTTTCCCCAGCACAGCCAATGAGGAGAACTTCAGAAACAACCTCCGCGAGGTGGCCCAGATGCTCAAGTCCAAACATGGAGGCAACTACCTGGTGAGGACAGGCCTCTTGTCTGTGTGCCCAGTGCCTCTCCGCCCTTTCTGCTTGCCACCTCACTGCTGGCATCCCTGGGCCAACTCTTCGTCCTCTCTTCTTTCATCTGCCCTTGGTCCTGGCCTGTCTCATGGCCTGACTCTGCTATAAGGAGTAATATCTGTAGCTGGAATGCAGCATCTAGAACCAAGTCGTGTGCATCCATGTGTGTGTGTGTGTGTGTGTGTGTGTGTGTTGACCAGAAGGAGAGAATAACAATAAGCGCTCCTGTTATTGAGCGCTTGCTATAAGCCAGGCCCTGTTCCAGCTGCTTTCCACGTATTTAACCTTCAGGACAGTCCTAGAAAGCAGGTTTTGTTAGAGCACAGAGAGGTGTGGGGTATTTACCTAAGGTCACAGTGTGAGGAAGTGGCAGAGCTGGCACGCCGTCAGCACCTCGGAGAAGTCTTAAGGCAGAGTTGTGATAGAATGCACCTAAAGGGGACCTTGTGTTGCTGATACTGGGATTCATACCTAGCCCAGGAGAATCACTTAACGAATGTGGATGAGGTGGCCACCGGTGGTCTCCTCTAATGTCAGAAAAGCTGGCCTGGAACTTGGACTGATCCTGGCCCCAGATGAGGTCGCAGGCCCACTTTACAGAGAGGTGCATGTGGGCTGGACCCATGGATCAGACTGTGCAACCTTGAGGGGCTGCCCTGGGGTGTTTGAGCAGAGGCGGCTACAGGAGGCTGTATTAGGTCCCGGGGCTGTTGTAACAGATTCCCATAAACTAGGTGGCTTAAAAGAACAATTTATTTTTTCACAGCTCTATAGGCTGGAAGTCCAAATCACAATGTCGGCAGGGCTGTGCTCCCTCTGGATTCTATACGGGAGCACCCCGCCTTGCCTCTTCCTAGCTTCCAGTGTCTGCCGGCATGCTTGGTGACCCTTGGCTTATAGCTGTATCTCTCTAGTCTCTGCCTCCATCATCCCATGGCCTTGCTTTTTTCCTGTGACTCTCTGTGTGTCCTCTCGTCTTCTTATAAGGACACCAGTCATTGGATTTAGGACCCACCCTAAATCCAGGATGATCTCATCTCCAGCTCTTTAACTACTTACATCAGCAAAGGACCTATTTCCAAATAAGGTCACATTCTGAAGTTCCGGGTGGAAGTGAAATTTTGTCGGACACTATTCAACCCACTACAGAGGCCCATCCATCAGCTGTGTCGGGCGTTGTTAAGAACCTGGCTTTAAACGTCAGAAAGTCCTGGGTTCGAATGTCGGCTCTCCTCTTACTAACTACCTGATATTGGCCAATTAGCCTCTCCAAGCCTTAGGTTCCCCATCTGTAAAATGGGTCTAATAACACTACCCACCTCTTAGGGTTGTTGAGAGAATTAAGGCAGCTAGTAGATCTAATGTCCTTAGCACGGGCCGGCAGGGGTGGACACTCCAATGGTAGCTGTTGTGAACATAATAAACCATGTTCCATTAAGGGGCTCAAGAATGCACTAGAACCATCAAGGTCCTTCCTGATTTCCAGAGACCAGGATTTCATGGGTCTCTGTGCTTTGCCACCCTCCTTCCATCCTGTCTATTCCAGGTCATGAGGTCCTCTTTTCTCCCGGAGACAATGCAGTAGTCTTTGAGTTTCCTGGGCAGTCAGGTAGATGTGGAGACAGGAAGTCCAGAGATTGGGGGATTCTCATGGGATATGAATAGGTGTTGGAAAGCATCTATTGGGAGACGGGTGTTGAGGGTCTGAGAGGGACCTGCCCAGGGCGGCCTGCACCCTCTGATGGAGGGTGTCCAACCCCAGAGTCATTGCATCTTCATGGGATGAGGTTCTAAAGTCAACATGTGGAATGGAAACCAGAGATGGCCAAATACTTAGCGTTTAACACCACCGGGTCGCATTCAGTGTGGGGAGATGCCCACACAGGGTGGCACATGAGACCCGAGACAGGTTCCATTCCCGTCTCATCTTCAGTTCAGGATGCCTGCTCACTGAGGGGAGTGGCTGAGTGTCTGTTCTTCTCCCTCTCCCTCTCTTTATCCTGAGAACCTGTAGTTGAGCTCCTGTTGGTCAGTGTGTGTGTTTGATGGGATCCCACGAAGGCTCATGTGTGGCTAGAATTTCCAGCAGGCGGGGAGAGCGAGCACATGAGCCTTCTCATGATCTCTTCTGTTCCCTCCCCCTAGCTTTTCAACCTCTCTGAGCGGAGACCCGACATCACGAAGCTCCACGCCAAGGTGAGCCCATGTCCGGTAGGGGTGACGCTTCTACCTGCCTGGGAGAGCAGGAGAGATCGGTAGGCTGCTTTTTCCCATGATTCCCATGTTAGAATCGTGGGGAAAAGTGCTGTGACAGTTTGCAAATCCTATTCAAGGTTACAGTGCCATCTTCTATTTGGAAAATGGAAAAGAATATATTGTTTCCATAATAGAAATTACAGGAAACAAAGCTTGATGATACAGTGATTTCCACCCAGGTCTGTCCCGCCCTGGGAGGCACATAGAATCTCTGGAGTGAGGCTGGAGCTGTCAGATTTTTAATTTTATTGAAAGGTGTTTTGGATTTCAACTGGCAGGGAATGGCTGATGGAGACCTTCTTACTGCCAGCTTTCACCTGCTTGCCTGGTGGGCTGTGTGCGGGGCTTTGCACAGATAGCTGCTCCCGGCTCCTGGATTCTGGTGTCTGACACTGTGTGACCCTGGGCAGTCGACAGACTTCTCTGGGTCTCCGTTTGCGTCTCTGAAAGTGGATAGGCTGGATTAGATGTGCCCTCTGGGCCCTTCCAAGCAGAGGTTCTCTTTTACTATAAAGTTCTGTGAGGTTAGAAAAGTTTTGAGGCACCAAAGACTGCTGTTCAGATCTGCTCTCTGTCCCCTTCATGCTTCTCTGGGCTGGCCTGGAAAAGCAATGATGTGTGTGTCTAGGGCCTGGAAAAGAGCCAGAAACAGCCAGGAGCCCTTCACTGTCCTCTTTTGTCCCAAGCAGGCCTTGGGGTTGTTCTTGGGAAGAGAGCTTGAGGGCAGTGCTGGGGACCCCAGCATGTTTTGAGGTCAGAGTCATGTGGAAGGGACCTGGGGCCTTTGTCTCCAAGCCTTTGGTTTATGCACATATGTGAGAAACTGAGACTAGGAGAAGGGCCATGTCTGACTTGAGGCCCACAGTGAGCCAGTGACAGAGCTAAGACGCAGGCCCAGGGTCTCTGGTCCTGGTGAGTGTCCTTTACCTCCACACCCCACCTCCCAGCTGAGATGATGGACAGGGCAGGAGCCAAGGCCCAGCTGCTGGTGCCCACTGCTGGCACTTGGGGTGTGTGCTGACTCTGCCGCCCTGGTTGACTATCTGGGCTTCTGCCACTTCTCACTCTCATCTTGGGCCGCAGGTACTGGAATTTGGCTGGCCCGACCTCCACACCCCAGCCCTGGAGAAGATCTGCAGTGTCTGCAAAGCCATGGACACTTGGCTTAATGCAGACCCCCACAATGTTGTCGTTCTTCACAACAAGGTTAGAGCGGGGGCTGCAGGTGTGTGTGTGTGTGTGTGTGTGTGTGTGTGTGTGTGTGTGTGTGAATATATTCTTAAATGAGTGTATGTAGACCTGCCTGTATCTGGATTGTGTGAGTGTGAAAGTCTCTGTGTGTGTGTTCTCCTTTCTAGGGGATGATAGATTCTGCCCCAGGGGGTACCCCCAAGAAGTGGGGGTTACCAGCTTGTGGGTCTCTAAAATATAGTGGATGATCAGCTGTGTTTTTTCTCTTTGAGACTCAGCCCCCATTCTCTTCCCCCTCCTGCATCCCCCTACCTCATCCTGTCCTTTAGGATCATACCCCCCTCTCCAACCCCTGTTCCCCTTTCCTCCAAGACGTCTAAGCCTTAAAAATAAAGGCTTTTGTGTTTTGGGACTCTTTCAGGGAAACCGAGGCAGGATAGGTGTTGTCATCGCAGCTTACATGCACTACAGCAACATTTCAGCCAGGTAAGAGGGCCTCTGAGCCTCCCATTCTCTGAATATTGATGGTAGGGACGCCCTGCCCCCACCCACCCATTGCCTCTCCCTTCCTTAGGGCAGGAGGATAAAGACATAGGGGGTGACAGGTGCTGAGGTTGAGGTGGAGGAGCCCACAGAAAGAAGAAGGTGCCTGTCCAGAGCTCAGAGGCAGGAGAGAGGAGAGCCCACCCCTCCATTGTAGGTCCTGGTTGGGGCAACCTTGGGAGACAGGTCCATCCATAGACACTCCATACAGACAACTTCTTGGGGCCACTTTTCCTTACCAAGCTGCCTTCTGTTTCCCTGGGTGAGCAGATAGGGAGTCAGAAAGAAATGTTGGGTCAGATCTGGGTCCAGCAGAACCATCTAGAAGTCCTCTCATCAATTTCCTGTCTCTGGCCTGTAGGGTCCTCTTCCCACGTAGGTGTTTTGGAGCAAGCCTAGAAAACAAGCAGTGGATGAGTCCCACTCTGGTCCCGTTTTGCAGAGAGGCAGAGGAATGCACCCATTTATTTGTTCATTCATTTGCCAATAGTTATTGAACAGCGACCGTGGCAGGCGCTGTTCTAGGTGCTGGGACTATAGCAGTGGGCAAAGCCAGGCCACCGTGCTCATGGACATGAAATAAGTAAACAGGTTCATCAGTCATAGCAGGTGATAAGTTCTGTGAAAGAACGGAGACTAGAGTAAGACAGTGGGAGAGGGGTGACGTGGTCAGAGGAGGCCTCTGGAGGAGGTCATATTTGAGTAGAGACCCCATCAAGTGTGTGTGTGGGGGGGTAGGGCTGGAAGGACCGAGTCATTTAAAGTCTGGGGACGGAACTTTCCAGGCGTCGTGAAGAAGGACAAAGGCCTGTGGTGGGAAGGCAGTGTGAGGCGCTGGCGTGTTTGGAGCTGAGTGAGTGAGGGGACGAGGAGTAGGAAGTGAAGCTTGAAGGCGACAGAGCCTGGGGGACAGGCCTCTTCATAAGGACTTTGCAGTTTATTCTAAGAGTGACGGGAAGTTGTTGGGAGGGCCAAGAAGCGGGGAGCTCTGTGATCTGTCCATTTAAAAATGATCTCTCTGAGTGCTCTTCGAGGATAGGTAGAATGTTCTATGAAGGGCTTGTCAGTAAGACAGTAGTTTTATGACTTTAAGAAACCCAATCCAGCCTAATCTTTGCTTATTGGTGAGCACTTGCTGTGTACCTACTATGTGCCTACATATGCCAAGCTCTTTATAGATGTTATCTCACTTGCTCGCCATAACAAACTTCGAGGAAAGCAATTCTAACCCTCATTTTCATGAAAAGAAAATCAGGTTCAGAAAGATTAAGGAAGCTGCCCCAAGATGCAGGGCTTAGTAGCTAAGTGGTCGACGAGGCTTGGCTCCAGAGCTCCTGGGCCGAGCACCGCAGCACCCAGGATGGAGAGATGCTGGGCGTCACAGCGCGGGTTGGCTGGGGGATTCTGCAGGTCTGGAGAAGCTGGGGTGGGACTGGGGGTGGCAAAGGGGATCTTGGACTTGGGAGTTAGTTCATCTGACCACTTGTCTTCCCCTCAGTGCTGACCAGGCCCTGGACCGGTTTGCCATGAAGCGATTCTATGAGGATAAGATTGTGCCCATTGGCCAGCCATCTCAGAGAAGGTGGGTCTCCTGGGCTCACAGCCCAGTGCACACCTGTGTGTGTGCATTGTACCTGGGGACTAGCCTTGTGTACCCATGGGGGATGGGACAGCATGCCTAGATGGGGATGTACCAAGCATGCATGTTCAGGTGCCAGCCCGGAGGGGTGTAAGCTCAGGGACATGGGTAAGCCCATGAGCAGCTGGATATGCCCACAGGTGGGCAGGGCAGGTGGCTCCTGAGGCTGGTGCTGGAGAGCAGTGAAGCCATTGGTGGGGGACATATTGTTCTGGGTGTAAGAAGGCGGCTTGTGTAAGAAGGCAGGGCCATTCTTGGTCCTTGCAGTAGGATTGCTTCAGTGTTTGGATGAGTCTACAGGAGGCTGATGTCACTACCGCATGCCTTGGGGCAGTCACAGACGTTTTCCATAGGAGTCACCTTCTGCTGGGAAAGCATTACAAATTTTACTGGGGCCTCTCAACCACGTGGTCTCATTGGTATCCACAGCAGCCCAGGCAGGAAGCAGGAAGGAGGGATACACTCATTCACTCATTTGGCGAATTTTAGGCATTCTTCTATATTCCAAGCACTGGTGATGTCTAGTTGAATAGGACAAAGTCCTTTGCCCTTAGTGAGCTGATATTCTATTGAGAAGGGTGGACATTACACAAGCAAATATACAAACAAGACAATTTCAGATAGTGATTGGTGCTAGGAAAGAAAGCAAAGAGTGCTGCGGAGACGAGAGCTGATGGGGGGAGGGGAATGGGGCTATTTTCATCATTGTGTCAGGGACTACATCTCCGAGGAGATGAATTTGAGCCCAAAGCTGAATAAGGACCAGCTACCACAGGACGATCGAGGGCGCCTCCGTTTTACAGGAGAGAAGCCTGAGCCTAGGGAAGGCACTCCACACGGCCAGGGTCCACAGCAAGCAGTGGCAGAGCTAGAATGCGCTCGGAGGCCATTAACTTGGGCCAGGGCAGCGCCCCCTCGTTGTGTCATCCACCGTCCTGAGGGCTGCCCCTGGATGTGGCGCTGTGGGTTTCATGCTGTTTAGTGATGTCTGATCCGCAGAAGGGCACAGGTAGTATCAGGATCAGGTGTGCCTTGGGAGGCTGCAGGCAAGTGGGAGCCAGAAGGGTGGAAACCCAGGCCCAGAGTGGAGAACTTGAGAGTGGGACTTGGGCCCGGCCCCCCGTGTGGCCGGGTCTGTGGGTCCGCCACACCTGTCTGTGATGTGTCACACTGGGCTAGGGGCTACGGTGTTGAATCTCTCAGGCAGGGTCTCATGGGGCTTAGCTTCTGATGGGTGGCACCCATGGAAACAAGCCATCAAGGTCATTTCAGATAGTGAGAAGTGCTTCGAAGGGGGTAAACCAAAAGAGAACATGATGGGTGAGAGAGTGATGGGAACCGGCATGAGGGGCTGCTTCAAACTGACTGACCTTTCTGAGAAGGTGATGTGTGAGCTGAGGTCTGAGGAGGAAGAAGGAAGCTTTCGAGCGAAGGCCTGGGGTAGCGGGCCTAGGAAGAGGGGATAGCAAGTGCACAGGCCTGGAGGCCAAAGTATCCCATTGAGTTTTGTAGCCTCTTGGGACACTAGGCAAGCAGGACCCCTTAGCTACAACTCCTGAGTCTTTCCAGGCTCTCCATGCTGAGGTGGGGAGGGGTCCCCGAATCACACTCCATTATCCCCACTTTTCTTGCCTAGCTAGAAATATGCTGGCACTACTGGGGACTGTTTCCGCCATTGTGGCGGGAAGCCCTAGCCAAATTGAGTGAGTCCTTAGGCAACCCAGTTCCTTACATTTGGCATGAGACAACTGGCAGCCAGCTGCTGGGTCAGCTGGATCAGAAACCACATGTCTTTATGTGCAGGAAATTCTGGCTAGGCTGCCAGACACAGCAGCTGTGGATCAATGAGAGCCTTCCCAGGAAGGCGTCTCAGAGAGGGAAGAACTATCACTCAAGTACCTGCTCCTCAGTCCATGGCTTGCCACATATGGCTGGTGGCCTTGGTCATGAGTCTGGCCCTTGACCTTGAAGGATAAGGGATACAAATAGAGGAGCATGGTGTTATGATGGTACAATGTGTCTTGGAGAGAGTGGGCAGAGCAGTCACTTCTCTGAAGCTGAAAACCTGGAGAATGGGGGTCAGTGCTACCTGTCAGGAATGGAATCATTCAGGGATTCCACAGTGCTCGGGGTGTGTGTGTGTGTGTGTGTGTGTGTGTGTGTGTGTGTGTGTGTGTGTACAGTATCTGTGTCTGCCTTGCAGCTCATATCTGCACCCTTGTCTGCTTATGGGTGGGTACTTCTGTTTGTGCCTAAATGTGAAAGTGCAACTATTGGGTTTCCCTTCCATTTGTTGCCACTTTCCTGTCTTCTAGTCAGTGTTGCTTGTAAGGAATAGGGCAGTTGGAGGAGAAGAGGGCAGGGAGAGAGGGAGGGAGGCGCTTGGCCGGCAGCTCCCCCATTCATTGTCCCCACGCCCCCGGACTCATTGTCCCCAGCTCACAGACATATCCTGTTGGCATGATCAGGGGTTTTGATAGGAACCTGCCATTCCAGGTTTCCGGTTTGAGTAATGGGGTTGGGGGCTGGGCAGGGGCCTGAATAGAAGCTGGTGCTGCCCATCTGATTATCTTGCGTGGGTTGTCCGAGGTGGCCCCACCCCAGCCCAGAGACAGAGGCCCGCAGGCCTGGAGGTAGGCCAAGGAGCTAAGATGTACAGTCGGGGACTATTATCATGGTCATGTGGGTTCTGGGTTTACTCACCTCAGAGAGCCCCTATTGGCTCCCTCAGAGTCTCTGATGCTTTCTGATTGGCTCGGCTAACCCATCTTGGTGTCCTCTGGCCAGTCAGAATAGGAGGAAGCACCAGCCATTGGCCGAAGGATTGGCCTCTTGTTCTGGCAGATGCATTGGAGTCAGACTTTTTTCCTCCTCTCACCGCCTAATCCCTGCTTTGTGTGTTCTTGCTGTGTGTCTTTGGGAAGCTAATGACCCTTTCTGGACCTAATTTTCCCTCTGACTAGAAGGAGTGGAACCAGGTTAATCCTTCTGTTCTTCCAACAGGACCTTTTTGAAAAGAATTGGGGAATGTTGACCCTTGAGATAGGATACTTAGTAGAAGTTAGATATCTTTCAACACCAAATGAAATGATATAGAGGGACTTTCATCCACTTCAGCTTGATATAAAAAAGGGAGGGACTGTAATTATTATGCGCTTACTGTTTCCTGGAGTGTCATGTGCAGGCTGACCTGGAGCCTGCGGGTATAAATGGAAGCGTGGTGTAAGGGTATCAGAACTGTTTGGTGGTTGATCAGCCTACCTTGTGTAGTACAGCAGTTAGTGGACATCTAAATGATGCCTGTCAGGGATGTGTGGGAGGAATTTTGGTCCAGCAGGAGATTCCTGGGCTGGGAGTGAAGCAGGAAGGAGATGCTCATGTTGACCACCAGGGGGCGCTGGAGAACTCCAAGTGGGAGTTTGGCTTGATCATACTCCCACTTGCATCTTGCATCTTGGTCTGGACGTGCACACTAGCCTTCCCTACCTGGGGCTCCAGGCAGCAAGGGAGGACTGTGCTGGGCTGGAGGCCCCAGCTACCTGGAGGCCGGCCTGAGGGTGGTGGTGGGGGGGGAGGGCTAGGTGGGGGCGACCTTGGGCAATGTTCTGGGGGAAAAGAATATGGGACGGCTCCAGTGCAGGCCTCCCTGGTTGATGCCACACTGTCTCTGTTCCAGGTATGTGCATTACTTCAGCGGCCTGCTCTCTGGCACCATCAAAATGAACAATAAGCCCTTGTTTCTGCACCACGTGATCATGCATGGCATCCCCAACTTCGAGTCTAAAGGAGGTACGGGCCCCAGGCTTCTAGCTTCCTCTCCTTCCTGTCTTCCATCTCCTTCTCTTAAGAGGCAGCATTGGTTGGTAAAAATGTGGGCTTGGATTGGCGTCTCAACTGCACCCCTTCCTGAGCTTTCTTTAGCCCCAGTCTACTCATTTGCAAAATGGGTTTGATACTTGCAGTGCCTGCCGGCAGATGATGCTGGATGTGGCAATGTTTTGTAAACTTAAAATGCCTTTCAAGTGAAAAGCTAGCATTTCTTCCCCTTTCTCTTTCCATTTCTCCTTCCTCTTTTTCTCCTTCTCTTTTGTACTCCCCCTTCCTTCCTTTCTCCCTGCTTCCTTCACTTTCTCCTCTTCCCTTTTCCTTCTCCCACTGTCCCTGCTGTCTTAGCCCACACCACCCTTCTCTTACAGGGTGTCGGCCATTTCTCCGGATCTACCAGGCCATGCAACCTGTTTACACGTCTGGCATCTAGTAAGTATTCGCTGGGAATGAGAGGCCCGGATGCCGGAGCTCCAAGGCTGAGGACCAGGGTCAGGGGTATGGGATGGGCCCGCCTAGAACCTCTTCTAAGAGAGGGCTGAGGGATGAAGTCAGTGAGGTTTCCCAGTAGCCCGCCGGCAGAGGGGCAGCAGGGAGAAAGCATGCTGCTGCCCCCCTCAGTGGCCTTCTCTCCCTCTGCCCACCCTGCCCTACAGCAACGTCCAAGGAGACAGCCAGACAAGCATTTGCATCACCATCGAACCTGGACTGCTCTTGAAGGGAGACATCTTGGTGAGTTCCGCCCCTCTGTCTCTAGCCCCCGCCTCCCCATTAATTTTTCTCCCCTTCTTCTCTCTTCCTGCACCCTCCTGTCTCTCCGGACAAGACTCCACTCCTGGTGGGCCACCAGCCTTGGGGGTCGTTGGCTCCGAGGGCTCCTGCAAGGGCGTTTTGTTCTCCTTGTCCGTTCTCCTGCCTCCGAGGTCTCTCTCAGGGGACATCCCTTCCCTTGGGCTTGCCTCTTGGTCTAGAACATCTCCAGGGAAATGCCTCTCAGTGGGAGCTGTTACCTCCTGGCTTTCTATTGGTGACACGGACGCCCTTAATTCTAACTTCAGCCCTTCCTCCATCACTTTAAATCCACTCCTACTGTTTCTATTCTGACCTGTATGCAGGAACTTTTTGGGAGGCCGTTCTGTCCCCATAGGATAAGATTGGCCTCTAACTCTCTGCTCTTCTAGAAGTTTCCCCAGAGAGCTCTGAGATCCTGTTTGGTGTTGGTGACCTCTTCCTCACTGGGTTTGGGATGAGCCTTGGAAGCCCAATCTTGGAGCTGATCAAGAGGCTCCCTGGACCCGATTTCCTCTCCGTGGGCCGCTGATGAGCTCTGCTCTCTTTCCCACTCAGCTGAAGTGCTACCACAAGAAGTTCCGGAGCCCAGCCCGAGACGTCATCTTCCGTGTGCAGTTCCACACCTGCGCCATCCATGACCTGGGGGTTGTCTTTGGGAAGGAGGACCTTGATGATGCCTTCAAAGGTGGGGCTCACTGAGTAGAGAGGCAGACCTAGCAATGGATAATTATATCACAGGGTAGAAGAACAGTAATGGAGGGGCCATGGCAGCAGTGAAGGGGCCGCGATTTTCTGAGGAAAAGGGAGGTGGTCAGGGAGGTGTCTCCCTTTGTGTCTTCCCTCTCCCCATTTGAGGTTTTATCTACATCACATTCAGGACTGGGACATAGCCACATCCATCCATCCATCCATCCATCCATCCATCCATCCATCCATCCATTTATCCACCCAGCAACCCACCAAGCATCACTTGTGTGTCTGTATGTGCCAGTCTTGTGCTAAACTTTGGGGATATAAAGAGAAAGAGGTGAGTCCATACCCTGAGGGAGCTCAGTCTTGTGGGAAAACGCGGCCCACAAACATGAGACTATGAAGTGATGCCTGCAGTGATGGAACATACACAGGGCTGGTGGGTGCCCCAGAGAGTGGACACCGTCTCTGCTGTAACTTCACCTGCTATAAGCAGTGGATGGTGATCTGTGAACAGACCGGGCTCAGGCAGAGAGCAGAGAGTGGGGCTGAGACTTGGAGGAGGAGGGACATGATCCCCCCGGTTAGTCTGGCTTGTGTAGAAGGATGTACTCTGTGAGGTACTTTCTCTTGACTGGAACCAGGAGAGCGAAAGCTGAAGATGCCATTATAATTACAGAACAGAATAAAGGTTATCTATCTGTTTTTAAAAAGATTTTTATTAAAAATGGAACTAACAGACAATATTATATTAGTTTCAGGTGCACACCATAGTTATTCAACATTTATATACCTAAAGAGGTGATCACCATGATAAGTCCAGCAACCACTGGACACCATACCATGCTATCACAATATTATTGACTATATTCCCCTGCTGTACATTACATCCCCATGACTTATTATTCTTATTTTTGTTATCCAATTTCTTTTTTTAAATTAAATTTATTGGGTGAAAATGGTTATTAAATTACAGGTTTCAAGTGTACAATTCTGTAATACATCATCTGTATTATCACATGGTGTGCTCACCACCCGGAGTCAATTCTCCTTCTATCACCATATGACTTATTTGTTTTATACCTGGAAATTTTGACCTCTTATTCTCCTTCACTTTGCCCCCCTTTTTCCAATTACAGTTGACACTTAATATTATTTTATATTAGTTTCAGGTGTTCAGCATAATGATTACACATTTATGTAATTTAAGAAGTGATCCCCTGACTAGTCTAGTACCCACCTGACACTATACATAGTTATTTTTCCATATTATTCACTATATTCCCTACACATTACATTATCCCCATGACTACTTTGTAACTGCCAATTTGTAGTTCTTAGCCTCGTCACGTTTTTCACCCTGTTCCCCCAACATCCCTCCCATCTACCACCCCAATAAATCTAGTACCATCTGACACCATTACAATATTGTTGACTATATTCCTTATGCTATACCCTACATTTACATGACTACTTTATAACAACCAATTTGTACTTCTTAATCCTTTCCTCTTTTTTCACCCACACTCTCAATTGCTCTCCCATCTGGCAGCCATCAAAATGTCCTCTGTATGTTTCTGTTTTGTTGGTTAATTTTGTTCCACATATAAGTGAAGTCACATTGTATCACATTGCATCCGTCTTTCTCTGTCTGACATATTCCACTTAGCACAATACCCTCCAGGTCCATTCATGCCACTGCAGGTGGCACGAACCCATTTCCTTCCATGGCCGAGCAATATTCCATTGTATCTATGTACCACCTCCTCTTTATCCATTCATTCATCGACAGACACCCAGGCTGCCTCCACATCTTGGCCACTGTAAACAATACTACAATGAACATATGGATGCACAGGTCCCCTTGAATTAGCATTTTGGTTTTCTTTGGATAAATACCCAGAATGGTATTACTGGATCTTTTTTTGTCTCTTATTATAACCTTTGTTTTAAATTCTATTTTGTCTGGTATAACTATTGCTACCCCAGCTTTTTGTTGTTGTTGTTTCCATTGTCATGAAATACCTTTTTCCATCCCTTTACTTTCCATCTCTGTGTATATTTCAATCTGAAGTGAGTCTTTTGTATGCAGCATATGTATGGGGCTTATTTTCTTATCCATTCAGCCACCTTATCTTTTGATTGGAGCATTTAGTTCATTTACATTGAAAGTAATTGTTGACATAAATAGTTATTGTCATTTTATTATTCATATATTTTTTTAAAAGATTTTTATTGGGGAACTGGGGGGTGGTAAACAATGCTGGGGAATTGGGGGAAGGGGAACAGACAAGTTGCTGTCGTTTTGTTCTTCAGTCTAGTTGTGGAGGACGTTGCTTCACTGGCCCAAGTTGGCACCATCATTGAGCTCTTCTCGGGTGAGGCAGATCAGTCGCTGGCTTCTGGATGGCCGCTCACTGCAGCTGCTGGCCACTCACGCTGGCTGCTGGCTACATACGGTAGCCCATGGCAACCCACTGCCACAGGGACTGCAGCCTACGCCGTCACCGGTGACTCACGGCAGCCCAGCCCCAGGTTGAGCTGTTGTTCAGCATCTTAGCTGTGGAGGGCAGTGTCACTGGCCCTCATATGTGGGATCTGAACCGGGGTCCTCTGGTGTCCCAAGCCAGTTCTTAACCATCGCGCCACTCGGCCGGCCCTATTATTCATATCTTTTATCTTTTTTTTTCTTCTTCTTAAAGAAGTCTCTCTAAGATTCCTTGTAATACTTGTAATTCTTTGTAATACTGGTTTGGTGGTTTAGCTTTTTCTTGTCTGGAAGCTCTTTATCTGTTCTTCAATTCTAAATGATAGCCTTACTAGGTAGAGTGATCTTGTAGGTCCTTGCTTTGTATCACTTTGAATATTTCATGGCATTTCCTTTTGACCTGCAAAGTTTCTATTGAGAAATCAGCTGACAGTCTTATGGGGGCTCCCTTGTAAGTTACTAGCTGCCTTTTTCTTGCTGCTCTTAGAATTCTCTCTTTGTCTTTAACTTTTGCCATTTAATTATAAGCTGTCTTGGTGTGGGCCTGTTTGGGTTCATCTTGTTTGGGCCTCTCTGCACTTCCTGGGCTTGTCTGTCTATTTTCTTTGCCGGGTTAAGGAAGTTTTCAGTCATTATTTCTTCAAATTAGTTCTCAGTCCCTTGTTATTTCTCTTTTCCTTCTGGTATCCCTGTGATGCGAGTGTTGTTACACTCAGTGTTGTCCCAGGGGTCTCTTAAACTTTCATCATTTAAACAAATTTTTTTTTCTAAATGTTACTGATCTTAACAAGGAAAAATACAGGAATAGCTGACACAATAAAGGTGGGGCTGGTGAGAGGTGAGAGAAAAGGGGAGGTGCAAATTTCTCCTCTTATATGCAGAGAGGACACTATCAAAAGTGGACAGATCAAGAAATAGAGGCTTAACTATAGTATTTAAAGTTTCAAAGGTAACCAGTAGAATGAAAGATAATAATAATAATAATAATAATAATAATAATAATACCAGATTTAAGAAGAAGGAAGGTGGGAGTAGTATAAATGAGCCAAATTATTCATCTTCATAAGCATCTAGAAATAGTGGCATAAAAACTGTGGCTATTATTTATAGTCTTAGAGGTAACCACTAGTAGAATAAGAAATAGAAATGGTTAGATGGTTACCTCGGACAAGTAGGACTGGGGCTAGGGAGGGCAAGGGACTTAATTTCATTATATATATATCTTATTATATTATCAACTTCTGTGTGTGTGTGTGTGTGTATCACTTTAATTTTTTCTAGAAGAAAACTTTTTATGGAGTTCTTTCTGGGAATTGATTGCCCACTTTTGTTTTGTTTTCCATTTTCCTTTTTTAGATGATCGATTTCCAGAATATGGCAAGGTGGAATTTGTATTTTCTTATGGACCAGAGAAAATTCAAGGTATAAGTCAAGTTAGAATCCACTCATCATTCACTCCCTCCCTTCCATCCTGGCCTGTTCCCACCCGTCCTTCACCATTTTCCCACTGATCTGCTCTATACTTGTTAAGTTACCTGTGATTGAAAGGCAGGCCAACAGTAAAGGATCTGGATATCATAGTGGACCCCTAGCTAAACATGAACCACTGGCTTAATCTCTGGGTAATAAAAATAAAAAAGCAGACAGAGAGGCGCTGGGCTGGATAAACTGTTTTGGTCCCATTAGGTCATTATCTTATTATATTCAGAGACTGAGGGCCATGAATGATGAAGGAGTGGCTGAGAGGACACTCAAAGGTGCTGGATAGACGATAAGTATTTCTGAGAACTGAGGTGATTCAACCTGAAGATGAGAAGGCCAATTTAATAATAGCCTTTAAGCCTTTAGACTGGTTATATGTGGAGACCAGTTGTTCTCCATCTTATTTGAGAACAGAATGGGGGGAGATGAAGTTAGGTTACAGACAGATGCACTCTGGATAGACTAAAGAAAGACTGTCAGGTCAGGAAGATGACTTGCCCCAGAAAGTCTGGCTTGCGGCTTGTGCTGCCTCCCTCCTGGGCATTCTCTGGGTGTGTAGGAGAGATTCGGCCTCTCCCCTCAGATTTCTGCCTGGAGTGGAGGGCGTGTTAAGTGGGGAGTACGGGTGTGGCTGGGATGACCTTGTGTCCTCTCAATGTCAAGGCCTGATCTCCCACACTCAGAGAGAGTTTCTCCCACACTCCCTCTGCCTCCGGAGCAGACTCTCTTGTCTCGGCACTGCCCCAGGGGCCCCTGGGACACAGAAGAGAAAGAGACAGTTGCCCAGCCAGGAGGTCCCCCAGCTTTCTCTTAGGGAGGTCTTCATTCTTCCATGCCCTGTCCTGGTTTACCCCTATGACCTAGTATGAGCCTTTTCAAGAATGCAAGAAACCAGACCCCTGGGTTCTCTGTCCAACTTCAGCCACGGGTTCCGCCCCACCAGGGTCAAGAAAATGAGAAGTCCCTTAGGGAGCATCCTTGGGGGATCTGGTTGGTTTCCTCTGTTTTTCCAGCTGTTGCTCTCGTTTTCTTTTTCCTCACTGTTTTCCCACCCTTTCGCATCCTCTCAGGCATGGAACACCTGGAGAATGGGCCGAGTGTGTCTGTGGACTACAACACCTCTGATCCCCTCATCCGCTGGGATTCCTATGACAACTTCAGTGGGCATCGAGAGGACGGCATGGAGGGTAGGTGGGGCCAGTGGCTTCCAGCCCCTGTCCAAACTGCACAGCTCCTGTGCCCAGGGCCTCTGCTGTCTTGTTTGGCTGTGACACCATCCTGGGTTCTAAGGGGAGGGAGAGAAGTCCATGGTACCTCTGAGAGCTCACAGTTCAGTACGAGATGATAGGCACATGTGAATGTGTTAAGTAGTGAAGAGAGCTAAAAAACACAGCCAAACAACGAGATGAGGGTGTGCCATTTGTGCTAAATGAGTCCCATGGACAACAAGTGCTCTGATATTAGCATGGGAGGGATTCTTAAGGGCTGGAGTGGCCTGGGAGGGCTACTTGGAGGAAGTGGCCTTGAAGGGACCTTGAGGTACCCCCTTGTGCTGCCAACACAGCATTGGTTTGATTTCTCTTAAACCTGCTGCTGCATTTCTCTCGGCTTGCTGCCTGAGTTCTCTGGGGTCAGAGCACTAGGAACGTAGACACAGCATCTAGGGCCTGCAGGCTTTCATCGACCGCCAACGAAAACGTTTGAGAGCTGGAAACAAACAGATAGGCTCCAAAATTTGAAAAGAAAGCTACAGAATTGGAATTAATACATGTTTCATTTAGCTACAAAACCTAACATTATGTCAGATGGTCAACTACAGCTCAGTTCAACTCTTGAGAGTTATATATGGGTTATATTTATTTATGTGGTTCATTTGAATATGGGTGATGGGATGTGGGTGGGGCTTCCGAAAGTGAGCGTGCCTGGAGCCCAAGAACTCTTGAGATGCCCTGCCTTGGGTTTGGCCACAGGCTTGTTTTCTTGATTTGGTCCTAGGACTGTGGAATGTGGCAATTGGGAGGACCCTCAGGACCACTGGCCCCCCCCCCCATGTTTTCAGTTGGAGTAACTGAAAATGTCCTGATTTACCCCCATGACCCAGGGTGTGTTCTTTCAAGGACACCAATGCCCAGCCTGTGGGCTTCTCATCCCAGATGAAGCTGATTCTGGGGGTGGGGGACGTGCCATCCAGGGGACCCTGGACTGTGTAGCAAAGCTGGGTTATGGAGAACCAGGCACTATCACCCTGCTTCTTGCCTCCCTCTCCAAGGTTTTAGATTTGTGGACTCTGCCCTGAAAGTCTTTTAGGCTTTTTCTTGCATAAAGACTCTCCCTCTTACCCTGGAAACACCATGAACGATGGGTTTCAGAGGGAGTGGGGTGAGGGCAGTGGTTGGGCTAGAATTTAGGGCTTGATGAGAGCATTTTGTTTATGTGCAACATTGCAAAACTGAAGGCTTGTCCTCATACCTACCCTAGTTCCCTGCCCTTTCCCCCCCCAGGGGCACAGATACACCTCCAGGACCCTCTCCACTCTGCTGAGGCTGCCCACCCCCCAAAGCACTTCTCTCCTCACCCCAACCCCATCTGCTTGTGCTGAGTGGCTGAGGAGGAGGTAGAGGATGAAGTGAGTTAGTCCTGAGGTACCAGTGGCTGCCAGCCCAATGGTGCATCTTCTGGGATGTTTGTAGTTTTAATAAGAGCACTTGGCAATTTGAAGGAATTTTAAATGTCTCTCCATCTCTCCCTGGTGTGGATTCAGTGCGATGGTAAACGTAAAAACATTTGGTAAACTGTTAAGTGCAGGCAAATAAAAGGTAAAATAATTAAGGGGGAAGAAGGAATGGGTGTGGGAAGGACAGGACTTGGGACATAGTCGGCTGTGAGGGAAGGAACGGGGGGGGGGAGGCGCTGGACTCCTTCCCCCGCAGCTGGCCCGCCTTCCTCTCTCCTCCAATCTGCTTCCCCAGGCAGGGGATGGAGCCAGTGGGACCTTTTGGCCAGTTAAAGGTCAGCTCGTCCTGTAGGGACAGAGGGGCTCCTGTCTGAAGGCTGAAAAGCTGGCCCTATGCCTGAAGGGTGGGCAGGGAAGGCAGAGGAGGCAGCTCATGGTTCTGCCATCTTCCCTCTGGCTTGGCCTGGGCGGGGGCTGTGTGGCTGGGATGGTCACCAGGGTAGACCCTGCCTGTCCTACTGTGTGCTCCCTGCTGCCAATGGACTTCAACCCCCACAGGGACAGGAAAGCAAGCCTGGACTAGCCCTGGGGCGGGAGCAGTGAGCATTACTCCTATTTTGCTTTTCCTCCTGGCTGTGGGCACTTCTAGAAGGTTCTAGATTCTGGGGCCCAAAGATAAAAGTATTTTCTTCTGGCTAATTCTCTGGTCAAGAGAGGGAGTCAGGAGGCCTGTGTCTGTCTCCCTAGTTGTGGACAAACCCCTGTGCCTCAGTTATTGTAGCAGTTTTCATGAGAGGCAGTTTAGTAACAGGGTTAAGAATGTGGCTTCTTGAGCCAGACTACCTGGGTTCAAATCCTTTCACAAGATGCCATCTCTTGGGGCCTCAGTTTACTCTGCTGTAAAATGGGGATTCAGCCTACACATCCTTTTGAGCATCTTTTGGGGATTGGCAGCTGTGGAGGGGCTGCCTGCTGTGTTTGCTCATGAATCTCTGACACATCGGTAGTGACTGTGGCAGCATCTCAGGGGTCTATAGACAGGCTAATGAGAAAGCCCCTTGGCCTTGGGATTCAGCTCTGGCTTTGCCATGTGCCAGCTATGGTGCTAAGCACTTGATAGTTACCATCGCATCTAAATGCTCACAGGCACCCTGTGAAGTGGGCACCATAATTATGGCTGAATGGGGGACCTTGGGCACAGAGAGGTTAAGTAACCTGCCCAAGATTGCCTAACTAGTTAAGAAAGCATCTGGGTGGGGCACCCCGGTGCTAACCACTGAACCGTTCTGGGTTGGCTGACGGCCCCCATGGGCCTATTCTGGGCATCTGGTCCTGTGGCAATACCTGGGTCCCCGCTGAGCTTGGGTGAGTGTCTGCCTGCTCTGACCCCCACCTCTCATCTCTGGACGGACTAGATCACCCTGGTCCTGCCTCTCATGATGAGAGACAGTGGTGCATGGAACGTAGTACCCAGGAGGCCAGCCCGATGCAGGTGCTTGCAGGGCTTCAGTGCAGGGAACAGCTGAGTTGTACCCCTTGATGTCCCTCCTTTACCACCCCAGAGAGTGAGGGGCTGCTCACTCAGGAATGCTGCTGTGAGGGGCTGGCTCTCAAAACAGGTAGAGGGTAGTGTGTCCAAGGTGAGATGAGGCCATTTCTGGAAGCCGCCTCCCTCTCCTATTTTGGGTTCACTGGGGAGTGGATTGGAGAGGCCAAGCCAGGCCAGTCCCTCTGGAGCCCACCAGGTGACTCAGGGGAGGTGGGGGCGCTGACCTAGGCACTCTGGCCTGGGTCCCACCTTGTTCTCTCCCTGAAGTGAGGGGGCCAGAGCTCCTATGCCTCTTGGAAAGCCCTCCAGGCGCCCCTGCTTAGCCGCCAGTGTCATGACTGCTCTGTGTTTAACCCCTTCCTCACTGCCTGCACCCCCACCCGCCCAACCCCCACTTCCAGTTTCTGGTGTGTGGCATTGCGACACTTAGAATGTTCTTCCACCGCTCAGGACGTTCCCGATCAATCTCAGCAGCAAAACGGAGGAAGAAAGATCCATATGGGGACCTCTGCTCTCTGTAGGCTGATCTCCCAGGTTGGGGGGACCCAGGCCAATCACAGTGCACAACTAATGCCCTCCTGCCACAGTGGGGAAACTGAGGCTGAGAGGGGAAGGGACCTGCCAAAGGGGGAGGCAGTCCCCATGTGTGGAACCCACTTTTGCATGATCTCAGCTCCTGCTGTACCAAAGACCACACTGAAGTGTGGTGAGGTGGGTGGTGTTGCCCGGGGCCATGAGATAAGAGGTGGAGTTGATGTTTGAATCTAGGGGCCTGACTTCACACCCCTGTTCCCTGCATTAGAGCTGAGCTCATTCAGCGCTCCCACACCCCTAAGTCACGTGGTTCCTGTAGGATGGTTGTCCAACTCCTCTAACCCTTAGATGACAGGGAGCCAGCTGTCATATAGGGCAACCCATTTCACTTTGGACGGGCCCAGGAAATAGAACCAGGAATAGAGGGAAAAGGTTGAGAGTGCTTCTGCATGGGGCCTGAGACTACAGTGGCCATGGGTGCTTGGGGACCATTTTGGCTCATCTGCACTGAGGCCAGAAGGAGGGAGAAGTGATGAAAATGGGAAGAATTAAATGGAAGTTCAGTATCAAGAACTTTCTGACCACGGAAGTTTCCAGGCCTTGGGACAGGTAGCTGCGGGACAGAGGCGTGCCTGCCATCCCAGGGACTCCTGACTTTGGGAGTAATTCCTTCTGGTGAACCCAATGGCCTGATGTCTTAGTCAGCTTGGGCTGCCACAAAACAGTACCACAGACTGGGTGGCTTAAACAATAGACATTTATTTTCTCACAGTTATGGAGGCCAGAAGCCTGAGACCAAGCTGCGGAAAGGGTGGTTTCTTCTGAAGCCTTTCTCCTTGGCTTGTCATCGGCCGTCTTCTCCCTGTGTCCCCACATGGTCCCTCTGTGCGTGTCTGTGTCCTAATCACCTCTTCTTATAAAGACACCAGTCAGATTGGATTAAGGCCCACCCATGTGACGTCTTTTTACACTTATTTACCTCTTTAAAGGCTCTATCTCCAAATATAGTCATATTTTTAGGAACTAGGGATTAGGACTTCAACATGTGAAATGATTTTTTTTTTTTGAGGGGGAGGAGAGGGGGTATAATTCAGCCCATAACACCGAGGAAGGAGTTTTCTGACTTGCCCGTCGTCGGATGCCTGGAGCCTTGGTCCTGAGTGGGGAGGACGAGAAGCTCCATCCAGGGTGGGCGACGGGGACAGTGGTCCCGTCTTCCCCCGGCCGCCTCCTCTCGGCCTCTTTGTCTCTCTCCAGTTTGGTCTGGAGCCTGCCAGCTCAGCGCTCTGGCTGACACCACGTTTCGCAGCCTACAGAAGCCCCATTAGCTGTTTGGCCTGAGTTCTGAAGCCCCGTGCCCAGATCCTGGCTCCCTGTGGGTAGAAGCGGGGCTCTGTTTTTGCCTATGCTGCACAGAGCTGTCTCCAAAT